GTTCCGGCTAATCTCTGGAATGGTTGGACCGATTTTAACGAGACTTTCCCTGATTTTCTTAGACTAGCTTCGCCCCGGGGCGTTACCTGCGCTACGACAATAATCGCAGGTAACATCGCGGGACTCAGCTAGTCTAAAATATAATCAGTACACATGCAGTTTATCTTTTGATATTTCCTGAAATACGATATGAGTTTGAATTATCATTTTTATTTAATAAAGCTTGAAAGAATTAAAGACTGACTCGGCAAGATCAATTTTTGCATCGGGCAAACATTCGTGCGATTAACATGTTTTTTTGCCCTTTGTCCGCATATTTAATATTTGCATGTGTATATTTCAACGTATTGGAGTATGTATATATCGATCTCTGGTTCGCCTAGTGGAAATCTAGTTTGATGCCGGCCCGGATGACCGTTTTTAACTTGCACCCGGTTATACATAGTAAAAGTATTAATTCAAAGCTGTTAAAGTCTAAAAATTCGTCTCTAGCTTTATGGTGGGGAGATTTCGGAAAAAATCAACGCCCTATAAGTTAAAATATACGTTCCACAAAAATTGGTTTGTTTATTTATTTTACAGTCTTTTAGAAATGTCTCATTTTGAAGTCAATCGGAAAAAAAATGTGAACTGGGTTACCAACTTTTTCTAGACGCTAAATTAGCATAGCATAGGCATAGGATTTTAGATAGATTGAATAAATCGTATAGAATAATGAACCGTTTTACATATGCGTACCTACTTGATTTTTTACAGTTATCAGTAATTTCGCATTATTTATTTAAAAAAAAACTATAAATTTAAACATTCCAGTTATATTTTGTTTTGTTTTACGAAATTATTGATACACGTTCGGCTGCGTTTAGTAACATTAATATTTTTCGTGAGCTGTAATAACAGTAGATACTTTTATTAGATTACAATAAAAAGATAATGTGTAATGTAATTAAAGAGGCCGGCTGGCAATCCTAATTTGAACGTTGATTTCGAGTTTTTTTTTTATTTTATTGCTTTGTTGTGTAGACGAGCTCACAGCCCTGGTCTTAAGTGGTTACTGGAGCCCGTAGACATCTACAACGTAAATGCGCCACACACCTTGAGATATAAGTTCTAAGGTCTCAGTATAGTTACAACGGCTGCCCCATCCTTCAAACCGAAACGCATTACTGCTTCACGGCAGAAACAGGAGGGGCGGTGGTACCTTAATTACTGGTGGTAGGACCTCTTGGGAGTCCGCACGGGTAGGTACCACCACCCCGCCTATTTCCGCCGTGAAGCAGTAATGCGTTTCGGTTCGAAGGGTGGGGTAGCCGTTGTAACTATACTGAGATCTTAGAACTTATATCTCGAGGTGGGTGGCGCATTTACGTTGTAGATGTCTATGGGCTCCAGTAACCACTTAANCCGCCTATTTCCGCCGTGAAGCAGTAATGCGTTTCGGTTCGAAGGGTGGGGTAGCCGTTGTAACTATACTGAGATCTTAGAACTTATATCTCGAGGTGGGTGGCGCATTTACGTTGTAGATGTCTATGGGCTCCAGTAACCACTTAACACCAGGTGGGCTGTGAGCTCGTCCATCCATCTAAGCAATAAAAAAATAAATAAAAAAAACCTACCCGTGCGGACTCACAAGAGGTCCTACCACCAGTAAAAGTGACCGATTGATTCCAAATCCTACAGAATCGTTCGCTATCGTTTTTATTATTATTATTTTTAAGAATAAACGAGTTAACTTAAACAAATTCTAAATTCATACTCAAGTTACCTAAAATAAATCACTTAAAACCTATGTATAATTTTAGGAAAAGTTCATTCGATTAAATATAACATCCAAAGTCATTACTAGAAAAAGTTTTAAAAGCCCCGTTAATTGCCGGCATCGCGTTCCCATTACGCAGTCTCCGCCACTGATACGGTTTGCGCGTACAGAATGCACATCTGGGAGCTATGAAGGATTTATTAAAAGAAAACAGCTTAAGCAACAGCATATATACAGAAAAAAATAGCCTATGTATAGTAGAAATAAGTTCTATATTCAATTGTAACGATTCGGAACACAAGCTTCTGAACACCTGTTTCAACCAATGCGAGTGGAGAATATGATAAATCTATTTTGTGCTTTAAGATTGGAAGCGTAGGTCGAATTTTCGTTTACCTTATCCTTGAGTTGTAGGGATGTTCGCATAAATTATCGATGTTTCACTTCGCGGCATCGCTTCTGTGATAAGTTTGTCTCTTTCTAAACACTTGTTTTTGTTTCAGAACGCCCGCCGAGAATGTGTGGACGAGGCAAGTGCTGTGCTTCTCAACCAACGAATCCTTTTAGTTTGTTCGTGACTCGAATTTAATTCTTATAATTTATAATATAATGTTTAATTAGTAAAATATTGTTTTCGATTCTACCGTAACAATTGAATTATCGGTGCGTATCACAAGTATCGTATTTTTATGATTAACATGAATATTTACGAATGAATGTCAATCAGTTCTGCCGGAATTATATTTGATTAGAGATGAATTACCGGTATTGGCTCATTTACTCAGTCAAATACCAGTTGATGGACGCCAGGTCGCGAGGCTAGTATACACGAGGTGTTGGCGGCCAGCCGGCGCCACGGCGGCAAATGCGGCGCCTGCTATCCTGTCAACCGAGAAAATCCGATTCCAAGCAAAAAGCGATCTAAACAAACCCATTGAAGGTTCTTATTTCAAAATCTCAACGATGATCAGCTGTTAATTCGATGCCAATTGAATTTTTACTTTATACGCATATTCATAAGGTCTCACAATGCGTTGTTGTATATGACGGACTTCGTTTTGGATCCATTCTTCGATTCAGTATTCCGAGCGTTGAATTAAAGAAAGCGATTTTTAGGTATGGTTTGTTTCGAGCTTACAAAAATTTAATTGTTTTAAAATTTATGCAATATCCTGTAATGGTATAGGCGTGCTGGAGGCATCACGTTTGACATACAAAGTATTTATTAATATTGTAATTAAGCATGAGGTGCATTGGTTATTGAAGCATTGGAATTATGTGCGCACCTATATTTGGCAGCACTCTTATCATTGCCAGTTGGCCGTTCAATACTCAGTGTAAGAGCTGGCGTTAATTAACCGATTAATTTTACACTTACACAGTATTCAAGGTGTGGGGATAAGTGAAACAGCCTTGCCGATTCACTGACCTTTGAGTGTGCATTTTCGGAGCGCATCACTCATTGATAATACGGTTGGAAAGAAACCATTTATTTTACGTATATTTGGATACGCGTTTCTCTCAAAATCGCACTAGCCAGGTCAAAGTTTTCGATAGACCTCTGTAAATAAAAAAAATAAAAAAAAAGAACTTGTTAAATAAAACGCGCCGATTTTCACGCCATGTCTACACTGGCTGCGGCTAGGTGTCAAAAGCTTTACCTGACCGGGCGTAGCGCACCCACGCGAGACACGGATATGTCCGACCTCTGTTTACTATCTCAGGGACATTATATTTGTTCGGGAGTTATCCTTTCACACTTCGGCATTGAGGCCGCTACTCAAATTATTGTATAAACATTAGAGCCTAAATTTTTAAGAACATGGCACGTATTGTAGATTGGTCAAATCGTGACGAGGTTCGAGATAAAACGGAAAAGAGATCTGCTTCAAAGATAACAGATATTTTGATTTATTTATTTCGTTTCGATGAAGCCTTTAGCCGAAAATGCATTTGCTATTATTACTCGGACGCATGTGGCAGTTCCTCTTTGAAGCCATAAAAATTCATGGCAAAACCTGTATATAAAACGGTTGTCGCCAGAGGCGAAACTTTAGCGATACGTTCCCAGAAACCAAGGAAATGTTCGAGCAAAAAGTCGACGAAACAGGATTTTGTATCGACATCGCCAAATCTGGATGCGTTAAGAAATGATAAAGAGGACGCCGCGCCGGCAAACATTGCAATCGAGGTACACAAAAAAATTTACAAGAACACCAAAATAAAAAGAACACGCTTCCTAATATGGGGAACGATTTATTTCGGGCAATATTAAAAGCATTAGAAACTCAAACAAGATTAATATACATATATCTGGCAGTTTTTGCCGCAAATATGTGAAATAGCAATATCATTATGATGCGGCATTATTTGTAGGCGTGAGCGTCATTTTATCGAAAAAATAAATATGATACAGTCACTTGCGTAATATCTTCAATTGGAAACAATCTAGCGTTCACAAAGATTACGTTTAGTTTTGTATTAATCATTTAGCATTTAACGATTGGCTAAGAATAAATTGGCATGATTGTAATATCGATTATCCGATCCGAATTCTGATCGGTGACTTGAATGCAGCGGTCGCACGGTGAGAATAAAGTACGTAAATTATTGTATAATGCGTGTGCGTGCGTGAGTCACGGATGTGCACATGTGGTCGTGGAAATAGCCTGTAAGTTTGAACAAATGTTCTGCTGAACGCATAGTGTTGTGTGGCGATCCTCACGACAAGTCGCCGCGCCGACGGCCAGAGAATGCGACCGGCTGGCGCACCAGTGATGCGATCCAACAAAACTTATCGATACCCTTAATGCGAGTCTTTGTTTAGGACATTTATAAATAATAATAATATTTTTTTAATTACATTCAATTTTTCAAGTTCAGATGTATTGAAAGTAATAGTTATGAAGTTAACAAAAAAATCGATTGTCTTAACTATTGCTTAAAACAGAATGTAACTAAGTATGATTAGTTAATGTTGTCATTTATATATTTATCTAAAAAATCCCACCAATTCGAATGTAGCTTCTACTGTATAGATATTTATTCCCGAAATTTCGAGTGCTCTGTTTCACTTAACTTTGCAATGTAGTAATAATTACGCATCGTACGATAAAATTCCGATGAAATCGCGTCTGTCGCATCTCTAAGGGCGAGACTGGGCTGGCGCCGTGCTTTTTTACCCTGGCTCGGTTGACTCCGTCCAACTTTATACGCTTCATTTTGTCAGTCTAACGCGGCGTGTTGAGTTGAGACGATGTCTGCGATCGATTTGAATACGCGCTGAACGTAATCGAACGCGCGTTCGAAATATAATTATAAATTGACAATTTAAGTGCTTTTTATTTTTGTGTTAAAAGACGTGCCAGTAACAAAGTTGTTTAGTGGTTTACAAAATATAATTATCTATGACGATTTGAATTTTTGTTTCTTTTTTGGATGTTCGTTTTTTATGGCAAAGGATTGTCACTGAAAATGTCTAATTTCAGTACAAATGGAGACGCTGTCCAGTCTACTGTTAAAGGTTTGTTTTGTTTATATTGAAATGGTTCGGAAAAAAAGTATTATAAAAAAAATCGCACTGTTGCACTAGTGTTGAAAAAAGCCTAGGGTTTATAAATATACAAAGAAGCTTTGGAAAAAAGAATCTTCCTTCAACATTAAATACATTTTATTTATTTAGTATTTTACTTGATTTGTTCAAGGAATCAATCAACAAATCTAAGCAAGAAATAATAGTTATGACACTCCATTAGTAAAAAAATATATGATAAAGTAATTAACTATTTGAAATTTAAACTAGACCATTTCATTAATGAAAGTCGATTGACTTATAATTTTATTACAATCCATTAATTAAATTCGTTTCTCAGAGGTAGTTTTATGATATATGATGTATCGCGAAAGCATATTTAATTGTCTCTTCATATCTGGAGATGGCGTCTTAAAAGCTCAATTCACGAAATCAATTTTTACTGGCATGTCATTAACAATTTCCATCGCCAGCAGGCTGCTATCCGTGAGCAATCATATACTTCAAAGATGCAGAAATAAATAAATTATGGACTTATCTATTACTATTTAGAAGTTATTAACTATTATAAAAAAAATAGCTGACCAGGCAAATATTGTTTTGCCATAATATATAAGATTTCTAGTGTAGAAAAAAAAAAATAACTTATTGTAAGCGTGTAAGGATGTGGTAAATGAGTGAAAGAGGTATGTAGTGCTGTGAACGATGTGGGAATATATAATAAAAATAACAAAACCTCATTCAACCACATAATACCTCATTATAACAAAAAAAAAACCAAATTAAAAAAAAAATGTTAGGGGTGGACAACCCTAATCACTTAGGGGTATGAAAAATAGATAGTAGCCGATTCTCAGGCTTACTGAATATGCATAAAAAATTTCATGAGAATCGGTCAAGCGGTTTCGGAGGAGTATGGGAACGAACATTGTGACACGAGAATTTTATATACCTATTAGATGTTATAACGTTGTCACAAATCGCGAGTTTAAATACGCATACCTAATTGCTTTTGTTTGTGTGGAAATTAGTTCGAGCTTTACCAAAAACTATTGATCTAATTTTGAAGAAGCATTGTGTATTAAGGGCACAAAATTGGTAAAAAAAATCTTGAGACTAGGTGACGGTAGTTGTTGATAACGCCGACGATACAGACGGACGTGCCTACTATTTATTATATTATATACTAGCGACCCGCCCTCGCTTCGCTTCGGAAACTGTAATTTATTATTGATTTCTCCACTATTTAATGGATGTTATTATACATATTATAAACCTTCCTCTTCAATCACTCTATCTATTAAAGAAACCCCATCAAAATCCGTTGCGTAGTTTTAAAGATTTAAGCATACATTGTTTCATGCCATGTATTTATTTTTTCATCTAATTACGATCTAAAATATCGAAATTTTATGCTTTGCAATCAAAGTCAAATTTGGTGTTGACCCGTGTAATCTGTGTCAATAATTCTGTTCTCTGTTCTAATCGTTTATCAACATCAGAGTAGCAATACATAAAACAATACACGCAAAACATTATTATTATTATCATTATGAAGTAATGAATACTAACTGTTTATTAGCCGGACGTATTAAGCCTAAATATTCAATGACTAGAATTCATAATAACATAACATTAACATTCCGTTGTATAGTAATAAACAGGAGTGACAGTTCATTGTTCATTGAAGTGATTGATATATTAGTCGATATTTATAAAATACTAGCTGACCCGGCAGACTTCGTAGTGCCTCAATCGATAAGTAAAAGATCTAAACTTTTGTATAAAATAAACTTAAAACAAAAAAAAGGAATCCGTCCGACGGGGGACACATCCAAGAAAAAACAAAATTGTTATTTTTATTTCGACCGTTTTCATATTTATTTACCATATTTATTTTAAACCTTCTCTGGACTTCCACTAATAATTCAAGACCAAAATTAGCCAAATCGGTCCAGCCGTTCTCGAGTTTTAGCGAGATTAACGAACAGCAATTCATTTTTATATATATGTATATAGAAGATAAATTATAAAATTCTAAGTGTGATTGCAGCTACATTTTTTATAGAATAATCCGTTGATACTGTTGACGTCATTCAAAGTACATTGGTGATGGAATGATAAAAATTGCTGAGATTCTAATAGTTGTGCTTCTTCTCAATGACAAAAAAGCGTGTACGAACATTTAAAAATTTGAAATAAATATATTATTATGTAGGTTTGAAAACAGGAATGCACGCTTAAATAGGAATCCGAAATAACAATTAATTTAAAGAACCCGTTACAAAGAAATGAAGGTACATATGTATGTACATACCAATCTGATGATATAATGATTTAAATAATAAAATACATGTCCAACTACAGCCTAATAACATAAAAGAGGACAAAAATAAAAACTTTGATCTAAGAATTGTTTTTTTAAAGTCGTTATTATAACAAAAGTAATTACACATTTATCAGGATCCTCGCGCGCTTAATTGCTGAGCATTTCAACCCTTGAACCAACGCAAAAACAAATGGTACCACATGTTCCGAGGGTGAAAACCCCACTGAGCGAAACAAGTGTCTGTTGTAATATATTCAACATAATCTCACAGCAAAATCAACCTTAAAACTTGGGAAGTAAAGGTCTTTTAAACATTCTCACGTGTCAGGAAACAAGTGTAAAATCATAAAAAAATAAAGGTTGCAATCGAAATATTTAAAACCTCCCTTACTGTTTAGAACTTAAGGTTCATGAATGAGTACCGGCTCTGGTTTATTTGTTCAAGTGTGATAGAAACGTTATGTTGTTAAGGCGGTTATTTTTTTTCCTATTTTAACACACTTGTTCCTTTATAGTCCCTTGTCGGTATATGTTTTATGTGCGTATTTAATATTGTTAGTAACATTTGACAATTTATACATTTTAATTATTATATTAATCGTTATGACTTATATCTAAAAAATCTATGTAAATTAAAAACATAGATAATCATAGATACCGCGTTCAATTTTCTTTTTTTATTTCGTTTAATATTATACATGTAAAATAATTATGCCCGAATTGAAGTTTTAATATCGGATTGATAGGCAGCCGTCGGTATTTCAATCTATTTATTAATACGGAAGCAAAAACTTTGTACCCCTTTTTACGAAAATTGCACAGGCGGAGGAGTATGAAATTTCCCAACGTTATAGAGAATATAGAGGAGTTAATTTTTTTTCCTTTTGTGCATAAAAAAATGCATTAAATCAATAACAAAAAAACATTACACATCCTACTATGTATTTGACACAACACACATACATAAACACTTGGCTTTATGTGAAACTTTTGTTATTATTTTAAGTCTGTGGTTAAATTAATAAAGATGCGTATTGTTTGTCTTTAATATTATTTGATTTTGACTATATTGTAGTTTTAGCGAAATCTGTTTTTAAAGAAGTATTTAATAATGTTCAAATTTATAATTTAAATTAATTATAGTCGAATTTCGACTACTGGGTGACACCACTAGTTTACATAATTATAAACAGTCTTCTGTTATTTTATTTCTGCATAGTCTAGTCAAATATTTTTCTCGATAATAACCTAATAAAATTAAGAGTGTAAGAAAACCGAAAACATTTAATGTAATTATTTTTTTATTGCTTAGATGGGTGGACGAGCTCACAGCCCACCTGGTGTTAAGTGGTTACTGGAGCCCATGGACATCTACAACGTAAATGCGCCACCCACCTTGAGATATAAGTTCTAAGATCTCAGTATAGTTACAACGGCTACCCCACCCTTCAAACCGAAACGCATTACTGCTTCACGGCAGAAATAGGCAGGGCGGTNTGGGTGGACGAGCTCACAGCCCACCTGGTGTTAAGTGGTTACTGGAGCCCATGGACATCTACAACGTAAATGCGCCACCCACCTTGAGATATAAGTTCTAAGATCTCAGTATAGTTACAACGGCTACCCCACCCTTCAAACCGAAACGCATTACTGCTTCACGGCAGAAATAGGCAGGGCGGTGGTACCTACCCGCGCGGACTCACAAGAGGTCCTACCACCAGTTCAGTAAAGTAGCTTTAGATCCTATGAAACTTGAAAGCCTAATGACCCCGCTTTATCGACCCCAACACCTATTTAGCAGTTCAAACACAATAAAATTAACAATGATCGTGCAATGAAAGCCATTTGTCGCCACATGTTCAGTTGGTGACGTCACACCAGATGTGGTCCACCAGATGTGGCGCGTACACTGTTTGTTTGACATCTGTATCTTTATTGATTAAAATTGTAGTTGGTCGCTTCTGTAGTAACGTTTGACAAATTATAGAAAATTAGGGGTTCAGGATTGACGTTAGTTTTTGATAAGTTGGGTTTTTGTATAAAATATAATAAACATTTTATATATCGAGGGGTCAAAGGTTATTTCGACGGTAGGGACCGATGTAGGGACATGGTGCCTACGTATAAAGAGTCACGTCCAAAATCACATATTTTTATTATTTCATAATAATTATCTGTTTGTCAATACGCATATTGCCATATATAATTATTAATCTTTTATTTTATAAGTAATATTTCAAAAGATCAACAAACGTATAAGACGTCGACTTTTAAAAATTAAAAGACTGTCGATGTAGAGACAGTCATATTTACATGAACTTTTATACGGTCTTAAAAATTATTATTGTTATTATTATTATTCCATAGTTGTGGTAGATACAGTTATCCAACTACTTTTCCGAAAAAATCGAGGATATTTTAAATAATTATATATACCATTAGAACCGACCTAAATTGAATACTTGAAATCAATAATATAAGATAGAAGTTACTTTTATGATTTAATTACACATGAGATTGAAACTTCAAAACGTCTCTCCTGTAAACCAACATTTTTGACATGACGCTTTGTACCTTAGGGGCCGTCGATTTGGTTTTAAGCGATATTTTTGCTACTTTACCGGAGAGCAGGACCAGGAGAGCTACCATTGGAAGTTTTAAA